AAGGAATGTTTCAAAGAAAGAAAAAGCCACCAGCTTTTTGACCTGTTCATCCTAATTTTTTTGCATTTTTTCAGTTTGCAATATGAGGGTGTACAGTGTACAGAAATTTCATATCTGCATGTAGAAGATAACTGAGGACATGAGTATCTTGCCTTACCAACATTTGGGTTTTGGGACCAATGGCATGATATAAATAACCCTGTTTGAGTAAGAGTCACTCAGTCTAAAAACTTATTTGCCATTTCAGGTTGTGGGAGTTTTCTTGTTATCTCCCTGGCAATTGTTTYGGATTTAGGATATCTTTTTAAGAGAGATGGAGTCAAAATTTTTACRAGGGCATATAGTGACAGGATGAGAAAGAATAGCTTCAAACTGAAAGAGGGCAGGGTTGGATGGGACATTGGGAAGAAATTCTTCCCTGGAAGTGTCCARGGCCRTGTTGGAGTAGGCTTGGAGTGACCTCCCCTTGCCTTTGCTTTCCTTGTTTTAATCCTCATGTCCTGCAGCTGGGATAGGGCACTGGTGCTTTAGCAGCTCTTCAATCTCTGTTGAAGATTTTCACTCCTCCCAGAGCTCACTTGAGCTTGAAACTGCTTTGTGACACTGTGCATGCATTTTTCCTTYACTCAGGAATATTTCTGCAGACTGTGAACAGAGAATAAGTAATTTGAAGACATTAGTCATTAAAAACCACATCAACCTGGGACAGCTGAGTAGTTAAACAGCAAATCTTTTATGAACCATTTGMGCAGGGGAATATAGGTGTGATCACAACTGCTGAGTCTTGCTGCAGCTCATTGAGATTACGTTCATTTGTGCAGGAGGTGGAGACTTCATTAGTTGAATATGGTTTCTGAATAAGGCTACAAATGAAAAAAACAGGTATGTGCATTCTAATGCACTTGGCACACCCAAACTTTCCTTTTCTTTTTTCTTCTTTTTTCTTTTCAGAAATATAGTATGAGCTAACAGCTGTGGAAAAAAATCCTGATGAAAACAATTTATTATRTATATATTTTACATAATATATTTTTGTAATATAGGTAGAAATAATTCGTAATTCTTTAATAAAAATAATGTTGCATTAAAAAAATTGCTGGCCAGTAAATAATACAGTGAAGATTGTGTTTAGGAACACGCGTTTGGCACATCTATCCATYTATCTATCTTGTGTAAGTAACCAGTGGGATTTCTGAAACTGGGAAATATGTGGAATTTTGTTTTCCCTTTGCCAGAATACAGACCCACAGTGTGTTCAGAGTTTGTATTTTTCAATGTTCTGAGATGGCAATGTGCAAGTGGCAAGAAGCAGAGACAGGGTCTGAAAATCCCATGATAAAAGCAGAGATAAATTGGGTGGTGCCATGAAAAGCCTGAGAGGCACAGGAAAAGCAGAACATTGTTTGTTTTATCTCTGCATATTCTCCTCTAATACCTGCATGAGCTGTGATACCACTTTGGTCTTCCTTGAAAATGAGTGGTGATGAAAGGGATCAGTACAAAAACCTCAGCAGCAACTAAAAATCTGTTTTTCAAAGCAGGTGTGGAATTTAAGGTGGCACTTTGCTTGTGGCTACCCTCATGCAGAGAGAGCTCTTCCAGGACAAAAGTTCAAAAATCATTGTTAATTAGCTATGAGGAGAGTTGTTTTAAATGGTATTTTTAGTATCTAATGAAAGGATGGTTTCAAAAATATTGATATTTTGAAAAAGCAAGAGGACATGYATTTCTGTTTGTCTACTTCATAGCAATCATAAATTTCATTTGAAAGCATAGTTAATAAATTTTGAATAGAGGAAGAGGAACTGAGGAGAACRAACACTTTTAAAACCTGGAGAAGAAATCCTTACACTTGTATGAAATTCCARTTGAATTACTGTTTACACAAAATATTTCAGACAAAATGTCTGAAATAACAACTTTTTTTAAGATACAGTCTAAGTGTGAAACTGAAACATTATCCCACCAGTTTATTGGAAATACAACCCACAATGATTTCATCATATTTTTGAAAATGAAGAACCATTTTCACCGATTTTTATACAAGCTGAATCCAGAAGGAAATAAAAAATATATATCTGAACAAGTCACATGAGCTCAAAGTTATGTCTGAGGGCTTTTATTGGTGGACTCTGTGGATAAATGGTGATGTTCAGATGTTCRGGCTGTGCTAGAGGACAGCAGTTATCTGGGATTCATGAGGGAAGGGGCTGCAAGTTTTAGGTCAAATCAACTTGGAGGCTGCATATACTGCTTGGCATTTATACAAAGCAAGCTCAAGGCTGAATGCAGCATTCAAGTTGTAAAATGGATGTAGAATGGGTAAAAAACCCCTGCAATTACTTCAGCGACGATCCATTCAGGTTAAGAATTTTCATCTTTGCTGTTGCCATAGCAATCTGTTCCCCTGTCACTACCACATTAAAAATCCATTCTGTAAAACTGTTGTTGGCAATATTGAACACATAACAGACAAAAMCATTTTTTTAATAACTTAGGTGCAACACGAAGAAGACCTAGATCTTAGAGAGATGCATATGTTCTTTAAAAAGAAGAAGATTAATATTTCCATAATACATCACAGGAACACAATATTTGTGCTGCAGTATTGATGTCAGTATAAAATAGTTTGCAAATAATCCAGCAATGCAGTGTCAGCTGAGCTCAAATAATTGACCTGTTCAGCCAAGATACAACAAACCCATATGTTCCTGAGTTAAACTCATATTTTGGTAACGTGCTGTAGARCTGTGTGTCCCTTTAACCTTCTGTTTCTGGTTGAATCTGATTCTCTTCAGTGATTGACTGGAGTGATTTTACTTCTCCTGGTGTAATTCTGGAATGGGAGGGCAGTTGTGTCCCCTAAACAGCTTTACATCTGTGATCTAATCTTAAACTGCTCATGAACCCGAGCTCTGCAATGAGTTTGTACCAATAATGAACTGTAGCAATAAGTCCTTAATCATTTGTTAGTGTATCCAAAGGAGGGGGAAAACAGTTTGTAATTCAAAGTGAACATAGCAATGGTTTGACAAATTTATGTTTCCAAACTGAATCAAATGCAAATATCTTTCAATAAAGTAGAGACACACATCTGTRGATACATACATGTGTRTGTGTGTGTGTGTGTGTGTATTTATTCAGGACTGAAAGGGAGAAGTTTGTTTAAATCATAAATAGTCCTAGATTTGAAAACTCAGCCACAGACTAAATAAATCATAATGGAAGAGCTGGAAACTGAATGTATGGCACTTATTCTGATCACTGCTAATATGTCTCAGCAGACAGGGCAAAGAAGTTGCTCAGGCAGATCCTTCCCRTTGTTTTTAGTCCACGTGTCACCCTGTAAGGATAATTATGGTGGAAAAAAAACCCTTTCTGTTCCTCACCCTGCTATCAGAACCTTTACTTCTAAAGGAAGGTATAACTTACCTGTTCTATCATCTGTGGATGGAAGTGCTGCTCTCTCTGCCCCCTTTCCCCCTTCCCCTGTCTGGAGACARAATTTTAATGGAATATATTTTTCCATGGATAATCCAGGATATTGGTAATCGAGAGTACTCGAGAAAATTTGTCTTGCATGTTTTTAACTGTTCAGTTCTCCTTGTTGTTTCACTCAGGCAAATCTTCAAATGTTAATCTTTGCTGAATAKGCAACATCACACCCCCAAATGTCTCTGAGAGGAGTAGCAGAGGTAAAAATAAAAATGCTGGAGGAGAAGTTTATTAAGAATATTCTGGATAAAAATGCTTGTTATTTCTATCAAACACTGGAGACAGAATGAAATAGTCTGTTTTGCCACTCTGTGGGTGAGRTCTGACAATAACATATCAGCATGGACGTGACACAGTTTCACTTTCCTTGAGCTGATTATATTATAGTTTSTTTCCTACCGACACATTTCATTACCAGATTGGGGTAAAAATAGCATTTTTTCTCTTGCTGGCTGTGATCCAAAACCTTTGTTTAGAGCAGAGTTAAATTTAGAGAAATTCAGTTGAATCTATATTCTTTTCCTTATTAGCTATTCCTAACAGTTTTTATTTTCTATTTATAGCTATAAATATTTCTATTCTATATWAGCTATTTTCTAACAGTTTTTTAGCTATTTTCTAACAGCCTGATAAGTTTTTGTGATTGGTGACTAAGAGTCTCTTGCTGTTATAAAGACAATCATCTACTTGCTTATATTGTCACATTATCCCAACAACAATAAACAAGTGCTAGATAAAATTACAAAACCTTGCCTTAAGAATATTGGCCAGTTAACCAAAGTATGAACTTTTGGTTAGAAGCTGTGGCTTCCYYATCCCTGGAAATGTCCAAGGCAATATTGGATGGGGCTTGGAGCASCCTGGGATAGTGGAAAGTGTTCCTGCCCTGGTGGGGGGTGAAACTGGATGATCTTTGAGGTCCCTTCCAATCCAAGCCAATTTCTATTCCGTGATTTTATGAATTATAATCAGGGATGAAGGAATGAAAAAGGTTGAACAGGAAAAGTTTGCTATCTTCTAAGCACCAATGGCCCAGTCATAAATTTACRAGCTACACATTTATTCCATGGGTAGTTTATCTTAAATAAATTTTGAATAAATTTGGTATACAACTAAGAAATGAATGAGGAAAGAAAATAAACATGGATAGTAGTAGCTGCTGTGTTGGCCCAAATGGATGGTATCTTAGCTGAATGTTGTGTGGCAGCGTGTGTACTAGATTTATGGTCAGCTTTCCATTTTAATAATTCAGTATTTCCTATTTCCTGAGGCATGGCAAACGTCTCTTTGTGACCCTGGCTACCAAGAAATGCATCATGCATCAGCATGTCACTGTGGTGCATTTCAGATCTCTTTTAAAAACAGTCTGGTGCCTGGAGAGCCTTCAGCCATGGCAGCTGGGATGAGAAAAAGAGCTGGAAGGGATCTGCTGGTTTGGAGAGATTCTGTCTGGGAAAGCTTTGCAATKGTTTTAAGTTGTGTTCAAATGTTTTTTCTTCCAACAGACTTTGGGAACTCTCACTGCAGTGCCCATTAAAGTTCCTCAGGTCAGCTCCTTGCAGAGGTTGGCAGGACAAGGACCAGCAGTGCTACCTCAGGTACAAAACACAGTTTCAAAGGGGGGTTGTGTCATTTTGTAGATAATCTCTGGTGCCCAGGCCTGGGTGGGTTTGCACACTCATTTTACAGAGTTATGTTTTCCTGCAATCCATGAAAAAAAAAAATTCTTCTGGGAGCATCCTTATAGCACAATGAAAAGCTATAAAAAATCATGTAGATTCATTGTGGAAGAACAAAATACATATGGTGGAATGTAAAACTATGCTTTAAAGTTGAATCACAAGTCACAGAAGTAAAAACCTGCAATTCTGAAATTAAAAACAAGTGGTGGAACTATTAACCTTCCTGTTCACGATTTAAGCTGCTCCACTGCCWTATTTACCTTGTCCATCCCAATATAAAACTTACCCAGGTGCCAGAYTGAGGAAGGATTGTCTGGGTAAGAGTGAAAGTAGAGTTGCACTCACTGGTTTTTAAAATGTTTCAAACTGTGTCTTCTTTACAGAACATGCATCACTGTTTCTATAACCATACACTTTTTCCCCACTTCTCATAATTTTGGATGTCATTTTCAACAAGTGCTTTGCTGCAATTCTATGGTCAGCTTTTCACATTAATGATTATTAAGTATAAATGCATCTCTCCCCCTGTGGCCCTCAGAGCTGGATTTCTCATATAGGAATACTAGAAAAGTGTTGAAGTTGATGATGCATATTCTTCCTATTGTTCCATTTTTTTTTCTAATTTTTTTTTTTTAGTGGCAAAATCTAGTGGAAGATCTGTGAGGTAATCTACTTGGAGGAAGAAGTATTTCCAACATAAAATTCTTAAATTCTCGCTTTAAATTACGTTTTGTGGAAGGCAGAGTTGGGAACATAAAGTGAGGTCATCTTTTTCTTACCAAGTTCAAGATCTTGCTTTTCAGGTGTAGCTTTTGCAAGTGCAGTGGCAGCTATGGTGGCTTTTGGGCTGTATGTGCTGCTTCTCCCTTCTGTGGAGGGATGGAAGGCCTGGCTGGAGCTCTTTTGTGATTCCTACAATTTTGGGAGCCTGCTTATCTCTGGATCATCCTCTGGGAGTGGTTTCCCTCCAAGGTAGACAGATTGCACTTGTGTCTCTGGTGCATGCAGATAATTGAGAAAAATCCAGATCAGTGTCTGAATTCTTGGCAGCACACCAACTGCTCCCTGGCATTTCTCCTTTTGACCAGTCTCTTAATTTCTTTGAGATTTCAGATTCCCTTTAGATTTAGGGGTRGGCATAAATATTACCAGGCTGGCTGGACAGAAAAGGGAAACTCCTCCATTTTGAGTGTCCTCATCATGTCTAAAGGAGTTTTCTGTATTTGATACTTTTATGCTCCTCATCTACACAGCCTATTTTGATTTACCCCTATGCAGCCAAGCAAAAACATACCACACAACTAAACCAAGGCATTTAACAACACTTACATAAAATAATGCATACAGCTTCATRATTTTCCAGATTTGTACAGATGCTTGTCATTTGTTTTGTTCATTTGAATGGGTTTATGATATGACCTCCTGGGAGCTTTTCCATCTGGGGCATGAAGTTCYGAAATTTGCACATTCACAAATGGCAGCAAAATCCCATCACTTAGAGCYGCTAATTAAGTGATGAGCAAACAAACATTACTTACAAGTTGATAGCACAATGCAAACAGTATTTCTTTAGGCATTCAAGTATCCATGAAAACYTCATTTTTACACCTGGCATGGTGTCTCTTTCCCAGTTGAAAACTCTCATCTTACTCCATGTCAAATGCTGCTTTATGGAGCAGCAARGGGGAGGGTAAGAAATTTCCCCTCTCTGCACTAATGCCATTTATATCCATGTGAAGGATGTGGCTTCCCATCCATCTGGCCTATCCTGTGTCTCAGAGCCTTAAGACCAGTTGTTCAAGCTTGCATTAGAACTATTATTATATWTTATTGTTATTAGAACCCTATTATTGTCTTTCTTTTTTTATTTTAGTTAGTAAATGAGTTGGGGCTGGTCAAACCATCACAATGTGATGTTATTGTTGTCTAGAAGCAGGAAAAGCCCCTAAAGTGATGGACAGTACAAAGCAGTGACATCCACAATCTTTAATGTGACACCAGATTTTCAGTCCAGTGAATGCCAGCGGTGTGGATTAGTACAGAGTTTGCTTCTGGAAGTATTTGCACAGCAGGGAAGCAAAGTCTTCACTCATTTGTGCCTAAAGGCTTTGTGGACATTTTACACTGAAGGAAGTTAATCATAAATGAGTATCTGTGAGAGAAGCAAGCTAACTTGTAATRCTGAAAAGAGTGGAAATGGGAGTAAATTATTGACTGGTGTGTATAATCACAGACTGTCTTTTATATTCCTATTGTAATCCTAAACAATAAGGAATTTTTTTTATGCAGAGGCACAAAGATARCTGCATGTTCAAGGACAGAATTGTTGTGCAGAAAGTAAAAAAAAAACCAGAAATCCTTGTCAACTTCAACCTCTACTTCTTAATTTTTTGAATAATATTGATTTTGTTTGCTGCTTTTATGGTAGTTTATCCCCTTTGCAAATGGAAAAGAGCCACTTAATGGATCATCAATACAATGGTGGCAGTGCCAAACCAGAAAATATAGGCAGAAAATACACAAATCATGAACAAAAGTTCCTGTGAAAGTGCAGTTCAGAGTAGCAGGATTGGAAATGTGGGCTGGAGGAGTTCCTTGGGTTTTACCCTGCATTTCATACCATCCTCCTGTAGGTTCCCAGGCTGATATTCCAGGGATATGCTAAAGAGAGGATAATGTTGTATGTGAACATGGATTCACTGAACTGGCTCATCTTTCTTGGGCTTTCCACAAAAACATCCTTTTTGTGTACCCCATTAAGGGGGAAGGAASAAAAGAAAGAAATCTTCCCCCTGTGGCAAGGGGGAATAAACATAAATAAATTATGTTTATTTTGACTGTGATCTTAGACCAGGCTGAAGATAAGGAGCACTTATTGGGAAAGGAACCAAAAATGAACCAAGCTGCAAATACTTGTATTTGAGTGAGTGGGGCAACCTGGATTTTAGGGAGTGTGTGTCATTGCTGTAAAGTTATGCAGAATGGGGTTGTTTGCATATTTTTTATTGAATAAAAAAGAAGAGGGAGAGAGTTAGTCCTCAGCTGGCATAAATAGACACAGCTTTACTGAAGTCAGTTGCATCTGTTCATTTTGGTGAAGGATATAATTACCCCATACTGCACTCATTTTATCAGTCATTGCTAATGTTTTCTGTGTGATCCTCTAAAGCTTTTCAAGAATGAAAGCTCTGTCTGCTGCTCCCAGCACTTTGCCTCTGTGACATATGAATTGTGCCAAATCCATTTCGAGTTTTTGTTTTTAAGCTCCGAGTACAAGGGTGAAGTGAAAATAAAGTGTGAATAATAGTCTTTCTCTCAAAGGCAATGTGATATTGCTTTGAGCTGAAAAATTTACTTTCATATAGATCATCCCTGCCAGTTTGAAGGTCTGATGGATGCTGAGCATGATCCAGCTGAAATCTGATAGAGGGGAGGGGAAGGGTTTTTCAGTGTTGCTGACAAAGCCATAACAAGATCCAGGGACTGGAAGATGAAATTAAGCAAATTCAACCTTGCAATAAAATGCCAGTCATGAGCATAATAAAACATTTTAATGATTTACTGAAGCTCATTGTTAAGAAGTCTTTGGTATTTTCTTTTTGAATTAATTTTTTTTCTTTTTAATATTTTTTTTCAATTAGTCTTCAGTTTCTGGGAGAAATTACACGGCCAGCCTGTGAGCTGGAGGATGACAGTGATTCCTTTCGGTTTTGTAATTGAAGTACACTTGTTAACTTCTTTCCCAGGCCTGAAGGAGAACACATTTACCAGAAAGGCCCTTAACAATTCTCATAGCACCTGCAGATCTGCACAGATGGAACTRTTGTAATTAAATCCTGTCCTTTAGGACTGTATAGGATTGCCCACGGAGATTGGAGGAACTGTGTGATTTTCTTCCTTTCTCCTTTTCCCCACTACTTGTTTGGGTTGGCTCTTGAGGACTTCTTTTGTAAGAGGTTTTCTTTCTTACCTTATTTTTTTTTTATTGCCTCAGGGAAGAGGCTCACCTGGTGGGATGTACCTCAGGAAATTGATTTTCTGTGATCACATTTGCCTTTATCAGTGGTAAAACACACCAGGCTCTCCCCCTCCACCACTCAGCAGTTCATTCACCTCTGCACATTCAGCAATTTGTGCTCTTGAAAGCTTGAATGACGTTTTGGTGAAATGGAAGAATTTGGGCTTCATATAGGGACACCTGGATGGGGCTGAGTAATATGGGTGGGATATACGAGAAGTCAGATTAGTCACAGGAGCTGATTCTTTCATGATCTGAAACTCTTTAAAATAAATTAAATTAGATGTTGTTGAACAAAAGAACACTCTACATCCCACAGTCCCTCTTATTTCCCTGTCTGAAAAGCAGACAGCTCAGGTTTGAGAATATCTCCTTGAAAATATGCTCCCTGCAGCTATCTGAGAAGTACCAGTCTGAATTGCCACAGGAAATTAAGCGTTGCTATTATTGTGTGTTTTAAGGAAACTAAAGAACAACATGAGTTTAAGAAATCATTATATTCAAGAAGTAGCTCTCTCTTCTGCATTTTGAGCGCTGGTAGTATCACATTCTGTTTTGACAGCTGTCAGAAGTGGAATGAAAGATACTCAGGGAAAGAAGGATTTAGAATTCTTACTTGCAACATTCACCAACAGTTGCACTTTTCTCTTGGTCACATACACGCTGCCTCTTTCTCTTTTCTTCTCCTTTGCTCAACTTTGGTACCTTTAATTTCTGTGCCTCTTGTGACAGGGACTGGTGCCATTCAACCTGTGCTACTTTCAGTAGAAAATTCCTATTTGATACTGTGCATGTGCAGTGCAGTTCCTGCCTATTCCAGCTCTTCTTCGGTGATTATCAGCTCCCAAACTTTTGCTAGTACCACTGTTCTCCTTTCATCTCCCAAATTTAGGCTGCAGTTTTGCTGTGGGAAAAGGAATTTATTCTAGCTCTTTCCTTCTTATTTTTTTCTCTTGCTAGCTGACATAATTTATCTTCATAAATTACTGTAGCAATGTAGGGTTTTCAGTGACTCTACCAAAGGTCTTTCACATAGCTGTTTATTAAATGTTTACGTTTACTGTTCATATTCTGGGGGAAAGTTCATAGGTGTTGGATAACAAAGAGCTTCTACATTTGCTTTCTGTTTTGGATTCACACTTGCAGGCCCTAGAAATAACTGCTATTTCCATGTTAAATTCTTTTAGCTTTAACTCAGGAGCACCCAAAACTTAATTTTCTGTAGTCAACTCGTTTTATTGTTCTGTAATTCCAAATAAATGTGGTCTCCCGAGGTTAAGTGAACTTGGCAGGGAGTTTGCAGAGGCTCAGCCCATGAAAACAGCTGTTCCTCCTCTGTATCACACGGTGGCAGAAAGCACCCAGAGTATGCTCTGTGCTGTACGAGCTTGGTAAATCCTATCACATCAGTTCAGTGTGCAGCACTTTACAAGAATTTAGTACTTTGGGAAATTAAGTTTGTTTAATTGTCTGTGCAGGAGGATCTTATTTTATAATGAAGTAATGTTTGTTCTTCCACAACTTGTAGGGTGTGTATTATGGGTGTGTGTAGGATTCATAACATCTGGCAGTCTATATATATATATAAACATATACACACATATATATATACATATGTATGCAGTAGAAAATATAATTACATAGCTGGAATATATATAAATATTTTGTTTTAATTAGGCTTTTGATTAAATATAAAAGTGCAATTAAGAGTGACAGATACAGTAGACCCTGGTAGATTGCGTGACAGTTTTTTGTTAAAAAAATTCCTGAGCTGATGGGTTTAAACCAGTGCTCTGGGCACTACTTTTGAAAATAAGGCAACCTGTGTATTGCTGCATTTAATATTTGCTGTGGAGATGGAAGGGTACATCTCCTTCTTGACATGATGGGGAATGATGGCCAGCCTTGAGAGATGGTTTTCTGCCCATCAGTAAATCCCTGCATTTTCATGAAATTGCTTACTTAGGCTCAGGATTGAAGCTGGCAGCATCAGAAGGGCTCCTCTAGGCTCCAGCGTTGTGACACAGGCAGCTGTTCCCCACATCTGTCTTTTAGAACTCATCATTTTGCTTTCACAGTATGGAAGGTGCAAGGAGTGACAGGACTAAACAAGCACAGAGGGAAATGACTGTTTTATCTGTCTGTATTAACAGATAATTTGGGTGTGAAGTTAACTCCATGTGAAGGAATTTAAATTATTTATTTTCAATCCTGGAACTGTACTTAACATGTTAAAGCAGACCCATGTTGATAGGGTGATGTTAATTATGCCACTGGAAACACATCACATGAGGTGAAAACAATTGATTGCAGCCATCATTCATGGCTCTGAGTACAGACACAGCCATTGCAAAGCTGGGCAAAGTGTCCTCTTCCATCCATGGAAATGATGGAAGATCTTTAATGATTGCAACAAAATATGAAGTTTGATGGTTGTGGGTTTCTGATATCCCTCTCTTTTATAAAATTTGTCTCTTGTCAGTTAAGTGATTGTGTAACTGATCTCCTCTCCATTTCATAAGGCATGTCTTAAACATGAAGATTTTCATTCACCCATCCACCAGTATAAAAGCATATGCTTTACTCTCCCTGTACACACTTTCCCACAACTCCCTTAATGATTCAGTGCCCAACTCTTCAATCCACAGAAAGAGCATTGTGTCCTTCAGAACAGGAAATTATTGCATTCTTCAGAAAGGCTTTGCCTTACACATCCTGAGAGCTGGACGCGTCTTGACTAGCAATTGTATGGATGCGTGCTAATCAAAATAAAGATTTGACTCTCTCCTCCCTTTTTGTTCGGCAGTTCAGAACTTCAAAATGATCTAATTGAGAAGTGCTGGGAATATATCTACAAGCAAATGAAGGGCAGGCTACATGCAGTTGCTCCATTCTGTTTTTCTAGATGCTCCTGCTCCACGGTTAATGCAATTAGAGATTCTCCTGAGAGCGTGCAGTGTTTGTTCTTGCTCCTGCTAACACCTGCCTCTCTGTTTGCAGGTTAGGCCAAAGACCCTGATTCCAGACAGCCTCCCAATCTCCCCGTGCAGAGACCAACCTTCCAAGCAGCCTCCCACCTTCCAGAAGGCAACCATAGTGAGCATCAAAAACCCCAGCCCTGCCCTCCCGACTGCCAACAACACCGTCAGCCATGTACAGACGCCCAGCAGCCAGTCACAAAGTGTCACCGAGCCCACAGCTCTCTCGTCCCCTCTGAGCAGTGCTGGTGTGGCCTACGCCATCATTTCCACCTCCCCCAGCAATGCAGCTCCCATCAGCACCAGTGCCACGGTCTCGGTGGTCAACGACAGCATCAAAGTGCAGCCGCTGCTCATCAGTGCCGACAGCAAGGTGAGCTCCTTGGGCAGCAAACGTGGGGACTGTGCTGCAGGTGGGAGCAGAATATTCGCCTGGGAGCGCATTTCTCAAAGAAAAAAATCAGAAAGCAATGGGAAGATTCTTACAGGGGCACATAGTAGACTTTTATCTGTGTGCAAGCCCTGTTTTTTAGTGGGAACTAAATGCATCATTATGTAGCCTGACATTAAYGGGACCATATGACTTTCTCTTTCCWTAGGCCAATCCTCACTAGTAATAACCCTGAATTCTGCACAGCTCAAATTTCCTATGGACTCCCTCTTCATTGATACAGTGATACTGGTTCTATTGACTGACCCCCAGTGATAAAATAATATAAAATAATATAAATAATATAAAATAATATAAATAATGTAAAATAATCAGAGATTCCTTCCAGGGGAAGACCAAATGAAATGAGAGCTCAGGGTTTCAGAACTGACTGGGAGATGAATCAGTAGACAGAAAACATTCAAGCTATGAAATACTTGTTTGTTCTGCTTTTCAGCCTTGGAATACAAGAACTTCACCACTCTTATACCAGAAAGAAATTCCATACAGGATACCAAAGCACCCAGCAGACATTAGCTGTAATTTACTACTGGGATTCTGCTTCTTTTGGTCCCGTTGGCAGCACACATTCTCACACAGTGCTAAAAAAGAATACAGGATGTAGGATGGCTTTTGAGGCTAATAAAAGCAGACATCTCTTCCCCACTTTTTTTGACATAATTTATTTTTCTCTTATTTAAGATGGCTACTGGTTAAGAAAACCATCCCTTTTAATGCCCTTGAATCTTCAAGAGTGACTGAGTTGAGATAAGGTATTCTAACACTTGAATGACATTGATTGAAAGTTAACAATGAAATAGATGGAATAGGCCCAGTGTTCAAATCTAACAGTCTTTATCTAGAAGGTAATAGTCCTTGGCAAGCCCTTTTGAAGCTTCCATAGTCCTTCTGATTATGGTATGAAGTCACACGTGTAGTTCTGTGGGCAGAAATTGTCATTCATTCCTTTTACTTTAATCACTTCTAGAGAATGTGACCTGCATTGCACAAATCTTCATGTGGTAATACAAATATTTGAGCAGTTGGATATACGAACATATATGGGTGTATGAGATGTGTCCTAATTCCTGTGGGTTCTAAATAAGAATTAATTTTAATTTAAAACACGTGCAGTTTATTTAGTTTATGGGAAAGTGGCCATCCACTGCTTATAACATGTAAAGGCTGAGGACTGAAGTCTGATCTCAGTTGCATGAGGAATGTCTTCTTTCCCATCTTTTCCCATCTTCTTCCCCTGTCTTCTTTCTTGCTCTGTAATAACACTGGTATGGCTGAGATCAGACTGGGTTTGAATGTTTAGTAATCCCATTTCTTCTACTTTTGCAAAATAAAATCAAAGGAAAGACCTTAAAATCACACCACAAGTGCTAAAGCATGGCTGATCAGCCACCTTCACAAGTCATCTAAATAAAAAGTGCTCTAATTTTCACTGGCATAGATCAAGTGACATAGGCTACAGTAGGTTTCTAATGCACCAATAAGAATTTTTAGCAACTTAAGTATGGATTTAGGACCCTAACCTAGGTGTGCTGTTGTTTTATGCTTTTGACTTGTGACTTTCATTATTTATTTGTAGGGTATCAAGTAACCCTTAAAGAGGACTCAAAGGTTTCAGGCAGGAAAATCCATTTTCATATAGTGAATTCTCTTATTTGTACATTGTCTTTTAGGTTATCATTATTCAACCTCAAGTCCAAACCCAGACAGAAAGTAAAGTGGAGATAAAGAATCCTCCTGAAGAGTCAGCTCAGGGACCCCCTGCTACCAAAAAGAAAAAGGAGGAAAACCCAGAGGTGATTTTTTTTTTATTTTTAATAAATGAACTACAATGTGGTTGAGTTATGGGGGCCAAATCTAAACATTCTTCTGTGTGCATATGCAATTACTTTATTTGTGCTTATGATTCTGTTCATCTCTCCTCCCAATCTCTGCAATCAGGGTGATTTCCCTGCCAGTGAGTGCCCTGACAAATTTGGTTTGCACCATTCAAACCTTCCAGTGTCACAAAATGTGAGGCTTGGAGGTCTCATAATAATTTAGGCTATAGCTGGATTTATGTGAAAGGTGTATGAAAGCTTAAGATATTTTCTGTTATCAAACATACAGCATCAGATTTAGAGGCTGTGTTTGAGGTGGAATTAACATTTCTTTTTTAAGCTGACCTTTTACTTCTTTGTAATGAATCTTGCAATTTTTTGATTGTATTACTAGTTTCCTGCATTTGCTGTGTACATGTCCCACAAGTACATCAATTCTAGCCTGAAATACTTTAAAATCCTTAACAGTGTGAGAGTAGAGTGGGTTATAAGACTAAATCTCTTTTGTGAACTATACTTATGTTTTAAACTAGAAATATAAACTGCCAGTCCCTGTAGATAGAGGGTCTCTAACAGACACTTTGGATTTGGGCTGGGTATGTTCACATTAGATTGGGTGCAATTTTGGGGCAGTTTGAGAAGCTACACAAACTGAATCTACTTTTGTGGAAATGCTCAGCTCCTGTGAAATCTTAACCTCATTAGTGTAATAAATGTGTAGCACGAAAGTATCCTTGGAGCTGTAGGTTTAAGAGAATTATTACTACATGAATTTATAATGTCACTGGAGGCATGTGGGTGGCCATTTTACCATTTTAAGAGGTTCATATAGTTAAAACAGTGTTAAGGATAAGAATTTTAGCCCAAAATATCACAGCTCTGTTTAGAAGCTCTGCAGAACTACATGTGGGAAATCTCCCAAGTTTAAAATCTGACCCTTACAAGAATCTTCATTACCACTGAATGAAGGGATTGTAGAGTCCTGTTTTATTTAGGAAGGTATTTCCAAAAACTTATTTATTTTGTTGCACCTTATGGGCAGAAAAGCCAGTAGGCCCTGCTTAGAAACAAAATGCTAGGAAAAGGTATCCATTTTTATTTGCCTGGAAAAACTATTGAATAAAATTCTTCCACAGAGATGCAGGAAGAGGCAATGGGACCGGGCACTATGAAATTCATAAATGCAAGGGATTTTCATTACAGTCCCAGCTAGAATATCTCAAAGACCTTTTTCTAACCACAGGCACTGTTCCTACCCTGTTTACTTGGAGGTCTCAAAAACTTTTATTTGCTGGGTAGGGTGCTGACACTGTGCCCTAAAGTATGACAGTTTTTTTCTTTTCATAGATTTGTTTCCCAGCATAAATAGATAGGTCTAGGGTTAATTTCTTTTGTTCTTTGAAAGTAAACTTTAGTTGATTATCATGTATTTATGCAATTAGTGTAATTAGACCTAACAGCATAATTAGTATAAATATATGTAATGATATAAATAGAACATGCAATTAGAAAATTAAATGCTTTTGTGAAAATCTTTCTTCTGCTTCGTGAAGATACATACTGTGTCTTTCTAAAAGCACTCATGGCTTTTAAGCAGATTAATAAATTTAGATCAAAGACAACAAAGATAACGTGGTATTTTTAAGAAGAAAATAGGCATTGAGGCACTTTTCACTTTTATTTATAGCCAAAGCACAAAACTGAGGCAGGAACTCCAATAGGGCTCTGTGTAGATCTCAGTTGGGAGGGACTGGGATTGAACAAATTAAAGTGACAATTTGAAAAAAGCTAACCAAAAATAACCAGGTTTACCAGCAGCCAGGAATCCCACGTGCAGTTACTGAGAATTCCTGAACAATCAAAGAGTGAGGATAATCACTGTCTTTAGTTCCTGACATGGTCATTCCATAGGGCTCAGCTGGAGATGGAGAACAATGATGATGGATCCAATGATGGGTCTCCTTCCACCAGGATGATTCCTAAAGAAATGGAGGAATTACAAAAGGGAGCTGCTCCTCTGGGGAGAAAATACCCCAGACAATGTTTTGTGGTTTTGTTTCTCTGAGTTTTTTGTTTGTGTTTTAGGGGGGAAGTTAATACTTTTTTTTTCTTGAAGGGACCTGAGTTCAACACAGAAAGAAACAGAATTCTATCAAAAACTTTTTACTCATTTAAAAATTCATATTAGCAAACTATCTGGCAACATTTTAATTCTAAAATGTTTTTTTTTTCTAGAAGAAAAAATACTGCCATGAATGCTGGTTATTTAGTTACTGGTGTTTTTAATCCCTCCTAAGAAGTACAAGAGAGACACACAGCAATTGTCAAATATATGCTAACGTTAGACCTGGATTGAAAATCTGGAAAAAATAAAGTCTTGGTTTTGCGGCTTTCTGTACAGAGGAGGAACAATAGATACTGTGATAATTGGAAGGAAAGCTTTGCAGTGGAAGTCAGGTTTTGAGTTGAATCCAATAGGCTATGGGGGTGTGAAATATCAACACCCATAAAAACAAATACAAATATAAAAAACAAATAYAATATAACAAATATAATATGCTKGTTAAAAAGAATACAGCTTCCACTGGGATTTTTTAAAAGAAACCATCTTTCAAATCCCTACAAAAGCTAACCCTTCTTGTGTTTAATCATGAGATCATTATCAAGTCCACTTGTGGTAGTTCTTCGTATTTTAAGCAAGTATGTTGTCATTAGATTTAGTTGGATACAAATTCAAACAATTTCAGATCAAAGAGAGGAAATTGTTTAGCAAACATTCCAGTACACAAATAATTTTGGTTGAGGCATGTTTTGAAAATTTTTTTATATGAAGATATGTTTTGTGCTTATACAGTTTGGAAGACTTGTGAGTTATATTTTAGATCAGATTCCTCGCTGCAAAATGAGTTCACCAGTGCCAGTGGGAGATGTTTGTTCTCTCCCTGTTGAGGAAAAATGTTGGATCAGTACATGCCTTTACAGTCCATGCACACAGTGTTATTTTTGTAGCCTGAGAAGAGAAATTTCTGGGTTTTTTGGGTTTTTTTTGAGGGGAGGGGACTTTCAATATGCTTCCAATATCTTGTTTACTGTCGTTCAATTCATATTTGTTTTATACAAAATTCATACAGCTTGTTCCCATCCAATAAAAGAAGTGCCATGTCCAGATCATAATAAAAATACAAAATTACTTCACTAAAGAATGGAGTAAGAATCCATCTAGCAATGTGAAATTGAACTGATTGAATTAACTGAATTGGTCGTGTGTTATGTGAGATCAGCAGTTATTTAGCATTGGCTTCAGAAATCCTTGAACTGCTGGAGTTTATGTAGTCATACAAGGAGAACCAGGCATATCTGCAGCAAATCTTCAATTAAAATTCCTCACATTACTATGCAATCAAGTAAGATAAGTTTCTAGAAGATTTTACTGGGTTTATTCTGTCAATACTAACTTTACCATGATTGTTGTAGCAGAAAATCTAACCCCTGTTTATTTTTTCCTTAGAAAATTGCCTTCATGGTAGCACTAGGACTGGTTACAACAGAACATTTGGAAGGTAAGATGGCATGTGTTGATTTACCGTTCAGTTTTTTGAGGGAAATGTTTTCTGGTGGTGCTCTGCTGGTGATTTTTACAGAATCTCAGTGGTGATTTTTACAGAATCTCAGAATGGGGAGGTTGGAAACCAGTGGAAGCCACGTGGTCCAACCTCCCTGCTCAAGCAGGGTCATCCCAGAGCAAGTTACTGAGGGCTGTGTTCAGATGGAATTTGAATCTCTCCAGAGGATAAGATTCCACCACCTCTCTGAGTAATCTGTTCAGTGATATTTTACCCTTCTGGTAAAGAAATTCTTCCTCATGTTCAGGTGGAATTTCATGAGCATCAGTTTGTGCTCTTTGCTTCTGTCACTGGGCACAACAGACCACAGCCTGGTACATGCTCTGACCCCTTTTTGCAGATATTTACACACATCAACAACATCTCCTCTCAGTTTTTGCTTCTGCCATCCTGTGAAGAGCAATGAAAAAATAGAAAATTAAAAAATCAGGTGAATTGTTCTCTTTGCAGTGTGCAATATTGGGTGACCTCACTTAGCTCAAGGGGCATGAGGACTGGCACAGGCTGGTATTTGGACTCACTTGGTCATCATGGTCCTTTAAAGAATTTTAATAAATAGAGAAAATAGTGAAAGAAAAATACTGCAAAGGCTCTGTCTGCCACGGTCAGCTCACAGTGATTCTTGATCACAAAAATTGTTAATGGCAGCTGATATTTACTGCCCATCCCATGGACCATAGTCAGCAAAATACTTAGGAATTTCCAGTACACTGAGTTTAAGTTTCATGTGCTTTAGACTTAGGAGCATGCTCAACTACCTTGTGTCTCAAGAAGAATCCACCATTTTTAGCTTGATTTCTTTTTACTAACATTTCCAGATCCTTAATCTTAGGGCAAGCTGCAAATTAGAGAGAAAATACATCCCAATTGTAATATCTCCTCCATATATGCAGCAGGTTCCTATGGGTCTTGTTGCAATTTTTCAGTGTTTTTCCTCTTTAAATCTGCATTTTAGAAAATAATTTCATGTCCCAGTGACTGAGAATTTGAAAGCAGTTTAAAGTAAGTTTAAGCCTTCGTCATTTTTAATCCCTTAATGGTAATGGATTGAAATGGAAATCAAAAAGCTACAGCAATTTGAGGAGAAGATTTATAATCCAAAAAGTGCAAATGATGACTGGTTCTCATTTTCTTTGTCTAAGGAAAATAGGACATCATTTGAAATTATGCTGAAGTACAAATTATGCTTACAACAGAAAGGACTTAATTTTGAATAATTCTACATCCTTTGATTTTATTGGAACTAATAAATTGTTTGTGTGGATTTATTGCTTATGCTCAAAATGCCAACCAGTGCTCCATTCTGTTTGTTGTACACTAAATGTGGAGATGCACATTTTGAACCAAACTGCTACAACACTCGTCACGCAGAATCAATTCTTGAAGACAAATTCACTTTTTATATTCCTATTGACATTAAATAAATGGTTCCAACCAAGAGCTGTTTACTGTGGAAAGGGTATTCCTTCACGAGAATTCGTGATTACAACTGTCAAAAATGCCCTTATAGCTTTCACATGCTAAAAGTTATTATTTTACTGCTCTGTCATGTTTATGGTTATCAGTCATTGCTGTTTATCAGGAAGCAGTGGCCATTGCACAGTTTTCAGTGCAATGAAAAAAATCCTTTTGGGCCTCATAGAATGAGCATGCAGAGTGTTTATTGGTGAAGGCAGTAGATTGTTGGAGTTTGGCCTCCAACATAAAGCTATCTTCAAATTCATTCATCTTTGTCAAATGTATTACAGTTTAAATTTTCCTGTTTGGTTTCTGCTTTTTAATTAATAAACTAAGGAATAAGATAGCTCAATTCTGTGATGCAGTGCGTGGTTGTAACCTATTGAATCTTTTAGTATTACAATTGTGTAAAAAAAAAAAAGGTAGAAGGAAAAATTTTAAAAGGAGGACCTTTAGTTCAGATCATTCTGAAAATGCCATTCCTCTCCTTCTGAGACAAAACAAAACAGAGCTGTCACCACCACGGGGGCATTTAGAGTAGCAAGATCCCTCTTGTACCTCAGTGCAAAGTCTAAACTTCACCTTAAAAGATTCACATAGGAAATATTTTGGAATGGAGCACACATTTTGTGTTGTGGGATGGATGCTGTGTGGCTCTTCTTGCTAAAAGAAGAGATAATTAATGGAGTTTATAATCAAAATAACAGGCTTTACAAGACATATTTGTAATAATCTCACTATTCTGAACTGACTTCAAGAGCTTTAAAAAGAAATTCCGTATGATGTGAATTGAATCCTAGCTCAGATCAAAGTAGCATTAAACTTACAGATTTCTGTGTAAGAAAATTGGAGTAATCTGCTCCCTCTCTCAGTGTTTCCAGTGTTGCACACATGGCTGGTTGTTGCTAAACACAATCCTCAGCATGTGCCATCTCCAATGAGTGTCACCCCTGAGTGGAAGGGGCTGTGGAAGTTCAGTGGAAGGGCTGCAGTGCAGAGTTTGTGTGCTGCTGTTTGCAGTGACACATATATATACACACACATATGGCTATAACAGCATTTAGTGTGCTCAGGATTGTGAAATTCCATGCTCCTGCTTGGATAAATCATCACATCCTAGTTAGAACTGAATCTAGCCATGCCATCTCATGCTTTTTCTAACCTCCACAGAGGAAAAGTAATGTAAATTGAATTTAAAAGGTTCTCTGTGTTTTCATGTGATATGAACTACAAAGCTTAATTGCTTTAAATGCTTCCCTTTGGTTAATAGCAGATGTTGAGAGTGCTTTGAAGGCTCTTGGTGTTTGCTGAATATGTGTCTGAAGGGATCATAATAAAAATCTTGTAGATCAGCAGAAGTCTACCTTGAAGGAAGGAAAAAATAAAAAATGCCTGTGTTCTGAATCTCACAAGGAAAAGCTTATTAATGTCAAACCTTGAACTGCAGCAAATATCAATGCTGCTGCAACCCAATTATACTTTAGAAACTGAACACAAACCCCAAGGGGCTGAGGGTAAGAGCATCTTGCTTAACAAGTTATATCTACATTTTTCCCTGATGAATGAGAAATACACAATTCATGTTCCTTTCCATGGTAACAGAAATCCAGAGCAAGCGTCAGGAAAGAAAGAGAAGAAGCACAGCAAATCCAGCCTACAGTGGACTCTTGGAAACAGAGGTACTTTATCATTCACTTTCTTTACCACAGTTATATTTCATGTCAATAAAAGGTCTAAGTGTTTCTTGCTGCAAAAATACATATGAATGCAGAACCACTGTTACTTGTAAAAGGATGCTGATGTAGAAAAGAAAGAAAAGATCTCATCTCAGTAGCTAAGCAACAGGTTTTCACCCCACAAGATCACTTGCTCCAAACTAGAATTCATCTTCATTTCAATAAAGGCCAAAAGGACTAAATTAGTGTGAGACCTGATTACTCTTTTGCCTACAAAGGCAGTTCCTTTAGATCATAACTGGAGAAGTGCTGTATTATGTTCAAATGTGCATTTCTATTTCTCTTTTCCTAAGTGCCAAATAATAAGTGGAGAACTTTGCTTTTTTTTATTAGTGGCATTCATAACAGGGGTGTGTTGGTTTAAGAATCAGTGTGCTCTGCAGGGAGTGAGGAACCCTGAGTAATAAATATAATCATATATAATTGAAAATAAAATGCTCTGGATAATCTCTGCTGTGTGTTTCACTTACACTGTTGTATTTATGGTGGTGCAATCAGAATTTGGTCCTGAATTATATTGGATTACAAACTTGGTGTTAAAGCAGCTTATAAAAAGGCTTCACCTTTTCTGTTTTTTTTTAATTTGTTTCTAAACATATATGCATTTATTCAGCAAATTAAAATTTCACCTTTGAAATTTCAGCACAGTTTGGGTTTATTGTCTGAACTTTCTACTGAAATGATGCTCAGTTGCAGCCAGCTCTCCATTTAAGCAAGACTTCTCTGTGTTCTGAGTTCTTTAAGCCTAAAGAAAGTGATTATTCTTTATTTAGGTACAAGTTTTGCAGAATTTTTGTATGCCAGCATTTCAGATTTCTGTCTTTGTTGGCAGATAGCAAACAGATGAAGCTGAAAAGAAACCCACCACTGCAGTCAAACTGCTGAGTCACTTGATTGTTCTTTTTTTGAAAGCACTGGAGATTTTTACACTTCAGAGCATCTTTGGGCACTTGAGTTCTTCCAAATTCCTCAACTATTTTGTTCAGTGTAAACACTGATGTCCATACAGACAGTATCTAACACAACAGGAGCTTTAGTTTGCTAGCATTAACCCTGTCATGCCTTAGACCTTTTTGCCCTCAATATTAAAATACTTGCAGCAGTTTTGTGGCTGCAGCCAGATCAGAGTTTGTGACAAACTCAATTATCTTGGAGCAGAGCTGGAAGAGAAGATGGCCCAGGTCTGCTGCACCCCAGTTCATCCCTCTTGTAGTAGCTATTCTCAAAAACATATGCTGGAATGAAAGGAGAAATAAATGTCAGTGAAAGAGTCCTGTGGCTGATCAGCTGTGTCCTCATTAGGAGCTGTCATTAAGCACTGACCATGGGGAATGGCATTCATGTCAAATGGAGGCAGATGGTTTTTTTTCTCTGATCAATTAGCTGTTCAGATGGATTTGCTAATTAGTGAGTTGAGGTATTTGTGGCATTTCAGGCATTTTGGTACAGTTTAATTTAGTCTGCTGAATGATCTTTAATTCATGATTGTTTAAATTGAAATTGTGTATAAATTAGAACTTTTATTTGCCAATACCCCTCAAAATATCAGGAGCTCAGCATTTGAAGTGGTGATGCTAACTTTGGTTGCAAAAATGTAATTGTGGTCTTATGTCTTCATTTGAATGACGTGCTTTTTCTTTTCGAAGTTTTGTTCTTTAAAAAAAAATGAAATACCATTTTATTTTCCTACACTCAGTAGCCTTTTTATCCCATAGGAAAGAGTGAAGTTTCAGGCTGGTTATTTTTTTAAGAAATAAAAAACATCTATTCAAAATTCATTAATAGATTGGCAGGCATCAGTGTATAAGAGAATAGTTTGGTCACCCCAGAATAAATCATTTATTAGGAAAACCCCTCTAATTTTCTTCCAAGCAGAATCTAAAAACATCTAATGAAGGAAAATGGTCCAGTCCTCAGAAGAACAGTTTGGGCTTGTCTAGACTATTAATGAAGCCTGACTTTCTATTGCCCACGGCCTCTGCTGTCCATGGGCTGTGTTAGATGAGCTGAACACCTCACACAGGTTTGTGGTGCTCTGTGTTTGGAACTTTGGTGATCTCAGCAGATTGAAATCACTGCCTGCTCCTTGAGATCCTGCACATTCACTTCTGAAAGGGAAATGTTTTGCTAAGGCCCTCATTTATTGCTTGCATATAAATATTCTGTGTGAATATAATATGCTTGCATATAAATATTCTGTGTGAATGTTCCTCTGGACCGCAGGCAGGTGTCACAAAGGTAGCAACATTTTTCCTACTGATGAGAAATCCATCAGCATTTTTATATATTCAAATAAAGATATCATCTCATAGCAATAATTTTCCTGTATGGACGTTTTTGGTTTGGAGTTACTTTTGCTGTATCCTTGCTCTTTTACCAGTCCATGCAACATATCCTGCAACCCAATCAGTAACATTTGCAATTTGTATTTCTCTCTTCTTAATCAAATCTACTGCTCTGTGAAGAACTTGTTAGAAAGGTAAATAATGCAACTGTTTGGCTGTGTCAGTAGTGAGTCTAAGTAGTTTTTGGAAAGCTGGTTACATCTGAGGGAAGCCCGTGGAGATTGTTAATCTGAAATGTGATAAACAACCAGAACACTTAGAAATGACACAGGGTTTGGTTTCTTTTCCCTTGCAGAGGAAACGCCTCGCATCGAATTATTTGAATAACCCCTTGTTCCTTTCAACGAGAGGTAAGCATATTTTTAAATGAATATACTATTATTCTGATGAATGCTGAAAATTTATTAGTAGGATTTCATATGAGTTACTGTAAGAATAATTACTTTGTAGAATATACTGCCTTCATTTTTTAGTATGGGGTGAAAATAAATAATTTTCCTGGAAAAACAATGGAAGGTTAAGGCTAAAGGTCACAATGGTGTAGAAATAGATCCAAAGCCTCTGCAATGAGTGGAAAATCTGACATCTGCCACTGTAAGAACCATGCAGTGAGAGAACTGATTGAAGAAAGTAATGTTGCCAACCCCAAGTGTAAAAAAATATATATCTTGACAAATAATTACTATTTTAGGCTTTTCATTTGCCTCTTCTGACCAGCTTTAAGAAACTGCTCTTCATCCTCAAGCACTAAAAATTTCTCATGTTTTGCCTCAAAACAATGGCTGAAAACCACAGTTTTTCTGATTCCAAAAGGTGGAGCTGTGAATCTGTAAACCTGATGACTTTGAAGATGCCTTCCAGTCTTGTATATCCAAGAACTTCAAATCTGAAGATTTAATAGCAAATGTCTTGAGAATTAGCAACTCAGAGGAGCCATTTGGGGATGCTGATGATTAGCTCACGGAAAGAAGTGCATTTCAGGAAAAAATGTGCAACACAGAGAAGACAAAGAGTTTGGATTTTTGTGTGAGACCTAACACAGAGAGAATATTGAGTGCAGTGCAATTCTTCAGATAAGGCTCATATTTTAAGGGAGAAAATGAGAAGCTTGAGTTGTATTTCAGAAGAGGAGACAAAGCCAGCAAAGAATTTTGATTCTGCCCTTGCCCTTGTTTTGCCTTTATAACTTATTCTCCACTGTGGTGCATTACAGGTAATAGAAGACAGACCTTTTTCTAAGTTCAATATTATTTCAGTATTGGGACCATTTGCAGTGTAATTATAATTGAGACATGAAGTTTTGACTATTTTCAGTGTTTGCCTGATCTCCCTGTCAAGTGTCATGTTTAATGCTTGAGATTCACCTTTCTGCCTTCAAAACTTCACGTGCCAATAGACATTTGGCCTATTTACCATATGTGTTGGGTCTCAGAGGACAGGACAGGTTATCCCAGTAAACAGCTATGATGACATTCCTCATAGCAGGAGGCCAGGCTCATGTCAGCCCCAGCAGAACATTATTCCTAGCTTAGTTTTATCTTCAAAATTAAAATTGTCATTTATTGTTTGCCTTATCACAGCACTTGTTTTTCCCACATAAACACATGTGAGGAATCAGGAGATTGGTAGCAAGCTGTGCTGCCAGCCCCTTGGTGGGTTTATGTGATATCTCTGACCTTCCTTTTTCTGACATGTTTCCCATTTTATTTGCAAAGAAGTAAGCAAGTGGCAGAGCTCTACTGATGCAGCTGTTTTGGAGTTGCCTGGAAATCAGCAGCCTCCCTCCTCAATCATTAATTCCACTTTCAGTCCTGTATTTTGGTTTTTCAGAATCCAGAATACGTGCTGGAGTTCTGTATATTCTGAGAATGTCAAGCTGGACTTTTTTACAGAATCCCCCACTCTGCAAGGGATTTTTTTTTTGTTCTGCTAAATGCTGAAGGCAGGTGCTGTCCCAGATTGTTGGCTCTGTAGTGATGCAGCTCTCCAGCTTCAGTGCAGAGATGGCTGCCCCTCCTCTTATAAAGTGATCCTATAAAAACATTGCCTTCAGTTTAATTTTTCAGCAGCTCGAATGGAGAAGTGGACATGTTTTAAGGAGTTTAAAACTTTGTAGCAAATGTGAGCGGAAAAGACAAATAAACAAGCTAGGAAAAAAAATCCCCATGACATCGAGGAAATAACTGTCATTTCAGGAAACACAGAAGAGGACAATTCTTGTAAATTTTAATCAAAATGTCAATTAATCAGGATTCATTTATATGAAAATGTCTTATCTGAAATGAGGTCACATCCCCTGACATGTATCATTTGTACAAAAGACTCATCAATTATCAAGCCTCTGTTTATCCCAGTAACATTTATATCCCCTGAGTAATCATGGTGTCATACAGTGGTGTATCTTTGTGTGTGTATTTGTGGATATGAAGTGACATCTACACATTTTATAAGTCTGTGATTATTTATGGAATTCATAGCCAAAGCGTACTACAATTCTTGGGAAAAGTAGAGAAATTTATGGAAGAAAAAAAATCTGTCAAAGGCTGTTAAATAGAACAGCCTTTTTAACACCCAGCATGCCGAGGTTCTTTAGGAACACCTTTGGACTACCAACATGAAAATTTCTAAAAATTTCAAATACTATGACCTTTTAGTATCAGACCTGTGGACATGGTATTCCTGCAATGTACATTTTTAAATCTCAAATGCTAACTTCACTGCTTGCTGTTACATTCTTTCCTGCCTGCACTAATTTTGACAATGTCCTGATCTCCTATGCCACAGCTTGACTAAAATTACTTCCATAGCTGCCAACTAGCAGCAACATATTTTCCACTAATCTGTTTTCTGCCCTTCTTTTATATGCTAGCAAATGAGGATCCATTCTGGAAGGTATGTGGGGCAAAGTTTGTGTATTAGCAGGTATCTTTCTCATCTCCAAGTATTCAATGCTTGCTTCTGATTATTGTAGTGGCTCTCAAGGTTTTCTTTTTCCACTTAAATATGTTTTTGAGTTCCTAAGCTGGAATTTCAGAGATGAACTCTTGGGCTTTCATATGCAAGGTTTGAGTTTAGTCCCTTTGTTGATTCCACTGATTGAGAAATTGCAAGTCCAGATTTGTGGGTTTAAGGAAAATGTTATAAGAAAAATGAGTAACCATTCTAGTTTGTAAAGATGGTATCTCTTTACATTGAGGTTAAAATTAAGATTCTTTGAGCAGGTAGTTTCTAAAGAGTAATATTTTGGAGAGTGATTTTTTTATAAGACTGCTATAGAATTCAAGATACACAAACCTGACTAAAACTGCCATGAAACTTTTTAATTACTATTCCTAAAAGTGAAAATATGCTTTTGGAATTAACAAACATATAAAATTACTACAGTCCTTTCTGGAAAACCAGCAGGATTTCTTTTATTTTTTATAATGATTCACAAGCCACGAGAGTTTCAAAATCAGTATCTCCTTTATTAAAATGCACTTAATTATAAGAAGAGTAATTAATGTTGCCACCAGATTAACATAGCAATTTACTACATGACATTGTAACTTTGTTGATGAGTCTTAGTTCACGTTATGTATTGCTTCAGACAAAGCACTAATCTGTCTTGTTGGAGAAAGGTTGTCAGAGCAAATCTGAGCAGAGAACAATTAATGCCAGGGAGAAAGAAGCCAGAGGAGTTCACCAAATAAGGTTTATAGCCCAAGGCTGTGCTCCAGCCTCCTGTTTCCCCAGCTGCTCTTTGAGGCAGTGGCCATGAAAGATGGAACTGTGCATTTTCCCCAGAAACCTTTTCTTGTTTGCTTCCTTCTGCTTTGGGCATGAAGGACGAGTGATCCCCACATTAACTCTGACCCAGGACAGAGCCCTGCATAGGGATACGAGTGTTATAGTAACACATTGGCCAAAAGAAAAAAAAAAAAAAGTGAAATAATTCCTATGTCACAAGCTGGTTATATTAATTGACTCGCTCTTGTGTTTGATTAATCACGTTTTATTTTTCTGTTTCAATTTATGGAACTTCCTTTCGGCTCTTCTGTTGTTTGAATTTGTTGTTATCATACATCCATCATGCATTCATTATTTCTGTGGCTCTCAGGGTCCTTTTGATAATCAGATTTCGTGTTTGAAGGAGCCTGGCTTTGTTCTACAGAGGGAAGCTCTCCATGGATTTTTACCCAGGGCACCCTTCTCTTGCAGAACGAGATCCACCACGATGAACACTGCACTGCCTGCAAGCGTGGGGTTAACTTGCAGCCCTGTGGCACGTGTCCCAGAGCATATCACCTCAACTGCCTGGAGCCACCCCTCAAAACTGCCCCCAAAGGGGTCTGGCTCTGCCCAAAGTGCCAACAGAAGGTAAGATACATGCAGCATGGCGTGCCAAGAAAGGAAAATGGGAGAAACTTTGAATCTGTGATGATTCAAAGTTGAATCTGTGATGATTCAAAGTTGAATCTGTGAATCTGTGAACCCTTAAATTGAATCTGTGAATCTGTGTACCCTTAAATTAATCTATAGTTGTAGCTCAATGGACTACAGCAGCTAAAGAAGTACTGAGAGGCTTTTAGTGAACTTTGCAGTATTTATTTCTGGAATTTTCACCATCCTAGAGTTAGAACATACCAGGAGTGCTGTCGTTTGCCTATAATCACATCTGCTAAGAACTGTCCTCTTAAAATGTCTCTTCAGTTCCTTTGGCTCCTTTCTTTACAGCAATGCCAGCAGCATGTAGCCAGATAAGAATGTAAATGTTAGAGATGAGGGAAGCAGTGTCAGAAGGAGACACTGCTCACCAGTGGATCTGAAAACTGTGAGGAGAACACTTCCTTTTCCATAAATGATGGTTATTACACACAACTGTTCATCACAGTCATGTCAAATATGCTAATCTGTCTAGTTGCTGTAATTCTGATTGCATGAGCAAGAAAATAATTACTAAAACACTAAAGTGTCACTTCAGTGTGGATGCTGTGCCTTAGAGTTCCTTGTGCTTAGCCTTGAGATTACTTTTATGTTTTGACACAAGGACCCAAGTTCTGGTTCTGTCAAACTGTAGGACTGGAGCAAACAYTATTATGTGGGTTTTTGGAATCCTAACCTTTTATTGTTTCCTGGGCTTATAGGTGTTAAAGAAAGATGACAGTGTGCCATGGACTGGAACTCTGGCTATTGTTCACTCCTATGTTACTCATAAAACAGGTAGGGATTAACACAGCCAGTGACAGGGGATTCCCTGCTTGCCATGGGTGATGCCATTCGAGTCCTCAGCAGTAATTTTGGTGTTACAATGCTGCCAGGTCCCATGGTGCAGGTCACAGACCATAAATGGCTGGGGAGAGCAGCCCCTTTCTGTCTCCTTGCCCTCCATTTGCTCCTTTACATCTTCTCTTTGTGAGGAAGCTCAGTGTGATCTCTCAGGAGCTGCACTTGTGGAGGAAGCTTCATCCAAGTGGTGCCTTCCCTGGAACAGGGCTGAAAGCAGCATTTTGAGGCAGAATGACAGTTTGTGAGGCAAAGTCAAGCTAAGCAGATTCAGATAATTGGGGGTGTGGTACAATGGCAGATTCGTGTCTCAGACACCACAGCAATGCCAGCTGCTCATTGTTTCAGTATTATTATTTCACTAGGGTCATATGCCATATGACCGCTGTGCACTGAGTATTACTCTTTTTTAGTTCCCTGTAGCACTTTTTCAATAGGCTGTTTGGGACATTACATCATATTTGTAAGGAGTTTTACAGAGGTCTGGCACTGTTGGAATGGTGTTTTTCAGCCAGAGGTCAGCACTGTTGCCATTCCAAGGGGCTGACCTCTTCTTAAACACCATCCACCTCTTTCTTGGAGACCTCCAGGATCACATGTGGTTTAAGGATTCATTTTAATTCATCTTGAAGGTGCACTGTAGCTTTTGGGTTGTCCTCCTGTGTGCTGTTGGCACAGACTCATGCACAGAATCCCAGAAACGTTTAGGTTAGAAAAGATCTTCAAGATCATTGAGCCCAACATCCAACTGATCCCACCTTGAATTGATCAGAGCCCTCAGTTCCATGTCCAGTCATTCCATGGGCACCTCCAGGGATGGGGATTCCACCTCCCTGGGCAGCTCCTTCCAATGCCCAACCACCCTTTTAGTGAAGAAATGCCTGCAAGCAGAAACTCCAGATTTATCTGGCTGTACCTGCTGATAAAAGGCTAATGAGACATTAACTCACCATGCAAAATACCTGCTTCTGCTTTCTGTCCTCAAGAGCACAGTGTGTCCTTTTCTTAACTCTGCATCTCCAATCTTATCGTTCCACAGTCAAAGAAGAAGAGAAGAGAAAGCTATTAAAGAGAAGCAGTGAGCTGAAGAGTGAGCATAGACAATTAGAAGAAAAAGATCGACTTCTCAACAATGCAATGAAGGTAGGACCCCTGACTGGGGACCCAGAGAATCCTGAAGAAATATTTATACAGAATTTAAGTCAAGAAACTGGTATTTTTGTGGCTAAAAAATGATTTAAGCTCCCAAGCTACTGATTTTTGAGTGTGAATATGCACATGTGCATTTATGAACAAAGGCCACTTTGACAGGCTAAGGAGGAGAAATCACTTGAATTCCTGTGGGCCACAAACTCCCCAAATAGCCACGACTGCCTTCCTTGTGGTCACATTTGTAGTTCTGAGCTGCCCAATGACTTCCAGGCACTTCCATCCTCCAGGTGAAAAGTTTCATCACAAGGTGTCCTCCAGTGGTAGCTGCTTGTCCATTAGCTCAAACCTTTTGATATTAAGAAGAAATAACCATCTTTACTGAATTTTGTAACATCTTTCCATGACTGGGAATGGATTCATAACCATTTTGTCTCTTGAAACTAATTTCAAAGCTAAATGTCTACAGGTGTCTCCACATATATTTCAAAGCTAAATGTTGCCTAGAGATGTTTCCACATATATTATGCTATGAGGAGCAGCATTCTCTGGCTGAATTGGCTGAATTCAAAGCCATAATTCCTACCCTTCATGGCTGAAGGAATTGATTTGGGGCTACCCTCCTCCTAGAGGCAGCTGTTTGTTTGCAAGGCAGTCTCAGTAAATATTTGACACTTCCTTACCCTGGAAAAATCAAAGTGGCAGCTGCAGGAGTAACTGGTCACTGCTTGTTTTACCACTGCAGTTATCCAGGGGAGGCATGTTAAAATATTTATCACATAAAACAGAGTGGAAATAAAAGCAGTAACTTATTAAAAGACATCACTGTGGGGAATATTCCCTGTCCATGTGTGTAGCACTAATGGGGCCACACGTGTGTGTAGGGGCAGAAGTAGGTAGGAAAGTGCAGTGGGCAGAGGAATTTGGAAAAAAAAATAAAAAAATCAGCATTTATCAGTGTCCTTTGGTAAGAGAGAGAGAGAGAGAGACCCGAGTGCTGCCTTTGTATTTTCAGTAACACAGCTCCTACTCTCCTGTGCCAGCCATCCCTGTGGAGTGCAGAAGGCATTCTTGCAGACTGTCTGTAGGTTGGAGTTGGAAACATCCTCCAAATGCATTTTCACCCTCAGAAAGCTGCTGCACTGTGTGCAGCACTGGTGATTACTCCACTTGTTAAGCTGTGGTTTTGCTTTCCCCAAAGAAGAATATACTTCATTTGAGCAGAATGCACACCCAGGGCACCAAAGGATGTTTGGAGAGATGTTTGACACCACTTTGAATGTATTCTCAGCCTTTCCTTCTCTCTCCCCTTCTCTTTATTTGACAGAAATGCTTAGAGCTAAAAAGCAGCCTTTTGGCCCAGCAGAAAGGGACTCAGTCATCACTGGAACGTCTCAAAACCCTCATTAGACTGATCCAAAACGAGCAGATGCTTCAGGTTACCATGACGACCACCACCACCTCCTCCCTGCTGTCCATCCCCTGGATCAAACCCTCCCCTGGCTCTGCTGCCATGCACAAAGCCTTGCAGCCATCACAGGGCAACAACTGACAAGAACTGGGTGAGGTCTAAGAAAGGGGGACAAGAACTTTATGCACGAGAGCAGAGATGAGACTGGAACAAAGCAGAGACCACGCAATCCCAGTTGGATCCACTTAAGAGATTGCAGAGCACTCAGCCCAGTCTGTAGGTCACTGTGGCAGGGCAGGCTGTGCTGCAGTTTTGTATTTGCCAAGAACCTTCAGTGCTTAATGACATTTTGTTTTATTATGTTGGCCTTAATGTATTTATGAGTGAGGATGAGCAGGAAAAGCCAAGAGGCCGATAGGAAGTGGGATAGGCTTTTGTGGGCTTTCTGTTCTGCTTTAAGGGCAAAGGAGTTAGTGAGGTTTTAGAGAAGTAGTTGGGCTGAAAGCTGTGTGTGGGAGGGGAATCAGTGAGAAAAAGAAAGTGAAATACTTAGTACTTGATTGTGTTCAGAAGAACAAATTTGGCCCCATGGACACAGATGAGCTGGAGATGGGGTCGCTGTGACCAGAACAGCATCACGGACACTCACAGAGCCTTGGAAACAAAAGAGCATTTCTTTCAGTATTATTAGACTTGACAATTGCAAATATTTAAATAAAGAAACTGTATGAAGTTAGCATTTCTAGTAAAATATTGAAGTATTTTCATGCTGATGCTTCTGTATATGCGTTCTGAAGTATTTAAAAAAATACGACTGTAAAACTCCTTTTGCAGGTCCTTTTTACTTATTTTGCTATCAGTGTATTTTTCTCATGGAGTTTTTGTGCAAGGTTTAGCATAAACCATAATAGTGGATATCTTTGACAGTTTAGGTTTTATTTTTTAAAGAGATTATTTTTTGGTTTTCTTTCTTTTTTGTTAATTTTTGATTCTTTTTTAAAGAAAAAAAAAAAAAGCAAATAAATGTTCTGGGTTTTGTTTCTTGACAGTACAGACAATATGCCAAAAAGATGACTTTACATTTTTGTACTGCATTTTTATTGTTAAAAATATGTGATTTTAAAAATTATTATTATTATTATTATTAATTTGCTTGTAGAAATATCTGCTGAAATGGTACAGGGAAAAAAAACCTGCCTCAAGGGGTTGTTTCTTGAACTGGAGACTCAAACTCAAAACTTCCAGGGGGGGGACAAGGTACTGAAAATTAAAAGGGTTCGGTGGGGGGGTTGTTTTTGGAAACTTGATTCCTTTTTAATATTTTGTTGGATTTTAGGAAATTGGGGAAGTGTTTAGCATTAGCCTGAGAAAATCCCAGTACAGCTGCTTGTTTCACTGGCTGGTCTTCCTGATTCTGCAAGGTGGGAAGGCTGATTTTCTCAACTCACACCCCCCAGTGCCATCGTCTCTGTCCTTATGAGTTCTCCATTAATTAGCACAACAGGTAATTATGGAAAAACACCAGAGCAGGACACAAGGCTGGTGTCTCATATCAGCATATCACATGGTGCCGAATAGCTTTTCTTTTTGTTTTTAATTTTAAAAAAGAAAAAAAATGAAAACAAAAAAAATGAAAAAAAAAAAGAAACCACAGGAGGGACTGGCTTTTTCTGTTGTCCATCACTAGAGGCAGCACATGGTCCCTTCAACCATTTTCACAACTCCGGGAGAAACTGTGCAGTACTATACAAATCTATTTTAATACACAACACTCGATTGAACAAGATTTTTATATTCTTTTATTGATGAACAAAGGGAACTAAGTAAAACACAGTTGTTATACATTGGTTAATGTATGCCAATTATGCATTCTGAGTGGCTTGCAATGTAAATGTTTTCAGGTTTAATGATTTTTTTTT